AGCTTGACCACCATTTGAATGGCTAAATTTTACTTGCGTTGAATGACCCTAAGCTCCTGTTTATCTCAACGATATTGGGAGGGTGAACCAGTTTTCTTCGAGCACTCATGCATACACAAAATATTTATTGATACCTTCCGGGAATCTTTATGGATCTAACCTGAAGTCAGAATAAACCAGGTCAGTTTTAAGTAAGTTAGTGTTCTGGCTTCATCATAGTCATATAGTTGAATGGGTGCTTCTTGACACAATGGAGGATCTCACGGTAATCCTAAAGTATGCCCATTACTAGACCTGAAAAAAGTCAGCGGTACTTATATCATAGTTACTAAAAGCATATGAGCCGGTCTGTTATTATCACAAAGGTATACAGAGTCTTCAGCTTCTGGCATTTTCCCTTCGTTTGAGGGTGAGTATTGCCCGGTGGTGCTGTAATAACAATCGGTGTCAAAGTTGTGCAATTGTTTGTCCGCATTCTACTTTTTTGGCACCCTATTGGTACCTGACCTTTAAATAGAATTAAATGCTGTTAATGCTATTCGTCGAAATTGAAAATGAGTAAATGTGCAACCATCGAATACTATTTTTCATGTTCAAACTCACTCCAAATACTTAAACTTAGACAAAATGCCACCTTAGAAATGCATGGCCGATCAGCTTAGTATGCTTGCCGATTTGATTCTCAAAGAAGGAAAATTTAATGCCTCGTAGATGAAATCAGAGTATGACCTGGAAGATAGCAAGTAGGTTCAAGTTGCTACACTTCACAGTAGCATGCAAAGAATGAGTGGACATAAGAAGACTGATACCAAAGTAGACCAAGGTGTATAGGAGGAGAAGCAGTCTGAAAATCAAGGTTGCTTTAAATATTCGAACCTTGTAAGGCGTCGGATAATGAATACATCTGCGCCACTGTAGTCGATTTTCAGCCTGGTTACCAAGTCTTCAGCCACCGACTTCTACCACCTCGGGCTTTCCAACTACGTCAGTAGCTCGGACTCCCTCATACGGCTCGCACCAAAGGACAAAAACCTCGGCAGCGATGCCACGTCTTGCTCATATCACCCTGAGTCCTCCTCCACACCAGTCCAACCTCTCCCAGCATTTCACTTCCTGCTAAGTATCGGCCCGGTATGCGTGTCGCGCTTGCCAGACACGTCTGTTATTGAAAGTTTACAACCTCACCGGCTGATCCCCCTGCCTTGCATAGTGCTCTTTATCTGACCTAGACATTACCAACATGATGATTCCCCTGAGTGTGAGCAGCGTCACGAAGTAATTTATGCTCAGAAACCTGTGACAGCTTTATGTCTTCATCTTTCTTTGGCCATTTCCCACAGTTGCACAACAGGACAAAATGAGCTGCAGTGCAGCGTGTTCGTCCTTCCACAGGTATTCAAACACTTCTCCGGCCGGTGGAAGGAATGCCATAACTATGCAGATGCCATTCAGGCCTTCTGTATCCGAGCTGAGATTCAGTCGTGAACCAGCACGTGGAGGCTCATGCAACCCTAAAAGCGGTGGAATGATCGGCACACCCAAACACCTCACTTCCTATACTTAAACTAGGAGCGGGTGCGGACCAATCTTCAGTTATCATCTTGGGCTTGACAGGCGAAAAACGTACACCAAACATACAGATCTCGCTCCACCTGCACAGAAGACCCTGTAAATTGCTGGCGTCTTCACTTGGCCGAAAGATATCACATGCGTAGCCCAATCCAACAAAAAGACATTCAGAAAGTAGACCAATACGTTTCAATTCAGATGTGTACAAGGTTGCATCTATGTACACATGTACAGAGAAATTAAAAAGGAACTGTGAAAGTAGGCATCAGCTTTGGGCATCAACGGTCGACGTGAATCCGGACTAAAACAGGACGCTGGTACACGAAATCATTGGCCGTTGGTCTGAGGAGAATAAAGAAATGTTGACTCCTAGGTCGCAGTTTGTGTGACCACGGAAGCCAGTGGTCGTAGTCTTTAGGTGAAGTGTCTGAGAATCAACCTCAGTGGTGAAGATGTATGCACACATTATCCTCATTTCAATCGCCATAGTGAATTCAGTGTTTTCTTATCACTCCCTTCACGTTTCTACTACTGTCAACCACTTTAACTGGTCCATTCTTGATTTCCCTACCTTTCATTTTACTGCCTTCTCCCTTGGTGTGGTGAAATTAAATCAAGCAAGTTGAACCATTACACAATAATGCAAGGTCCTGCGTTGATCTTCTTTGTTAGAAGCCCCAAAGTTTTCTGTCTATCGTTCCAGACGTATTCCTTTAAGTGAATCGAAGACCACACCATTGATTTCATGTAGGAGCTTTCAATGTCCGAACTTTATGTCAAATCGGACAGCAAGCGTCGATCGCCAGAACTCTAGAATCTTCAGCCATAGATGTATACTGTGTCCGAGACACGTACAAACGACCCAAGTGTCGTCATCAAATTGACCTCACCTGGCAATAGTAGTGAATCCTTAAAACTCACCTTATGAGTATCTGCAGGCCCAACGGCTAGCTCCCATGGATTTCTTGGCAAACACATAGCATTGAGTTGTAGAGCAGAAAGTGCGCTTCTCGACTGAGTAGCAGTCAACAGCCGTCTATGTGCTGTTCGACTGAATGGATCTGTAAAGACTGGGGGGATGGTGAGACTAGAAGATGCCTATTCGTTATCTCCACCTACGCACCCGCCGACCGTATTTCGGATGATGCAGAGGATGAATTCCATGAGAAACCGTTAACTTTGCTACATAAAGTCTGAATTTCATGTGTTGTCATAATGGTAGGTGATTTTAACGCTCAGGGAGGGGAAATTGAGCTGAGCCAATCGGAAAGCCATCTCAGGGGTATTTACAGAATTGCACACCAACGAAATGATAACCATGATCGTCGGTTGCAATTTTGCTCCGACAATCACTTGTTTCTGCTAAGCACTAACTCTAGGCATAAGGAGAGGTACTGTCTCACATGGCGTCCGTCGACATCGGATTGATGATAGATGTAGACGGACCGCCTAGCTGCTAACCTTCATTGTTTCATTGAACTCGCTGCACCGAATTCACCCGGTTAAGCATCAGCAGCACCTGACTTGTCATGTTATATTGTTTAGATCATGATCGTCCCTCTTGGCAATTGGCTTGAACGCGTCGGTATTTGGCATGACCTCGCAAATATGCTATCCCATCGGACCACTATTTCTTCCTTGGTTTCGTATTCATGGTCGTAATACAGGTACGAACAATTGCTGATTGGATTCTGTGTCTTCCCAGTTCACAGGAGAACCATTTCTAAAATGTTGATTGAGTAAGATACGATTGGGTGGGTGAATGAGTTAAGTCGCGGATGAAGTGACGTCATCAGAATACGCGAATTATACCACTCACTAATAAACTGTGTGTGTGAAGAAATATTCCTTTAATGTGTATCCTGCCGCTGATTTCAATTATGTACAGCATTCTCAAGATATAAAACTGCATACCAGTCTAGCAGTTACCACTCTTTTTAAAGTACCACTTAGTCCGTCCAACTATCTGGTGTCATGACCTATAAGAATCCTATCTCTATCAGTCTTTGAAAAGTTGTACTATCGTTACAAATTTAAATAACACCCAATACCTTTGAGGCTAGCAGTTCGGTGACACTTCTATCCATTCCTTCCAAAGTAATGGAATCATTGATATACATTGGACTGAAAGATTACCTCATAAAGATAAATTTCTCTACGCCCCCAACAACATGGATTTGGAAAAGAATACTCCTGCATTACCAATTTGCTCACTGCAGTAGATAGGTGGACTAGCATTGATTACCGTCGAGGACTGATTAATTTTATCTACGTAGACTTTGCTTAGGCGTTTGACCGTGTCAATCACGACTGTCTTATCGATAAACTAAAATTAATTGAGATTCGACCTCCGCTCGTCGACTGGTTGTTTTCATGTCTACGGGCCGTTCATTTCGAGTTCGGGTGAGTTTCTCTGTGTCTAGAGAAACAGAATGTCCTAGTGGTGTTCTGCAACGTTCAGCACTAGGACCTCTTCTTTCTCCAATATCTATGGGCGACTTGCCTCAACAGATCTCTTCCGAAATCCATCTTTTTGCCGATGAGGTGAAACTCTGGAGAGAATTCAAAGGTGAAGAAGACAGTGTTTCTTTACAGAAAAACTTGACTAGACTCCAATAGACTCCAGTCAACAATGGGCTTGCACTCAATCCTGAGAAATGTAGGGTAATACACGTAAAACATGATGCATCTCGTGTATATAGCCCCAACGGCATGGAACTTGAAGCGTCACTGACGGAAAAGGATTTGGGCGTGTTGGTCCCCCAAGACTTAAAATCCTTTGCCAACTGTGACAGAAAAGCACTTTGTGAAAACTTGGCGCTAATTGCTCCCAGACGAATTTTCGCAAAATTGGATGCTTCCACCAAACTTCCAACAGCCTCATGCGGCCTCACCTGGAGTTCGGAAACATCGTCTTCCCCCCTTATCTCCAGAAGGACAAACTAAGCTTAGAACGCAGCCAGAGGAGTTCTACAGGATCTTTTCGGCAACTTAGGCCAGAAACATACAGAGAACGACTAGCTGGACTGGATCTGTATCCTCTGGAATACAGGAGGCTAAGAGGTGTTTCGATAATGACTCACATCATTCTCAGTACGCCTGCCCGCCTACTCCATCACTTACCAAATCTCAGGTGTGGCAATAATCCTGGAGGACACTCACGGAAACTACTCCTTAAGGTGTGATCCAGGCTACCTCGTCTGAATCCTTTAAACGCTGACTGGAAACTCACTTGACATGTATCTAGGATCTGCCCAGAACTAATTGAATTTTCACATTTTAACCGCCACTGTTTCCTCTTTCTTCACCTGTACACAGGTTAACAGCCACAAGGAGTAGTGATCCACGGATTGTAGACACGGAAGCCGGTTAAACGATAACTTCCATCCGTCAACAACCATTTGAACTATCTGTACATTATTTTTCTTGATTTGCGGGCAATATGGGTCATGCGCTACGTTTGTCTCGGTTTGTTTTGCAATGTTCGGAACATACAGTCGATTCTTCTGTGTTAATTTGTCATGGTTTGCTGGGTTCAAAACAAAATTGGAAGAGCATATCTCGTGTACTATCGCAGAAAATGTGTGGGACTGTAGGTGAGTGGTTATATATTTTTCAGGAATGCAGATTGTGGCTGTTGATTTACGCAATCATGGTGAAAGCCCGCACTCAAACTATATGAGCTATGCCGACATGTGTAGAGACATCACACTTGTTGTGGACGATCTTAAGCTTCGAAATGTTTGTTTAGTTGGACATAGTATGGGTGGCAAAGCTGTAATGTATGCAGCCCTAACGGAGGTAGTTTCCCTTTAAAGTAACATTTGTTAGCCGGATAAGTATGACAAGTTAGTTGTCCTTGACATTTCTCCTGCACCAAAGCCTGCTGCGCAGTCCGTCCTGTCGCTTATTGATCTGATGTCTTCCGTGGATTTGGAAGAAATGGGACGAAAGTGTGGCAATAATGCAGCAGTTGTTCGTAATACACTCATGACAGACTGGAAAGAACCAGTTCCTGTAAGTTATATGTATCTACTCAACATATGTGCATTCCTATTAGATGTACCTTGTTTGTTAAGATGTTTCATGTGAATATGTAGTCACATAAAGTCATGTAAAACTTGGCCTGAGTAGGGGACTGAAGAACATGAAGATAATGGGAAGTAAGAAATATGTTCTGAAGCTAATCATGAGTTAAAAGACAACATAAGAGTTGAAGTGGAGTACTTTGGTCATGGGATTTAAACCTGCTTTTTGATGACACTTTTTATGAACATTTATTTGATAGTTTGCACAGAAAAACGTAGTATATATCTAAAGGTTGATTTTGTGATCTGTTTTTGTGGTGTTTGAATATGATTACATTGCAGGTTTTTAATTCCAGTATCTGAAATATCAGTGTTTTGCTTCTAAAATATGGAATCATCTTTTCACTGCATATTTTACTTTCAGAATTACATGTAGTTACTTTTAGTAGTTGCTTTTCAAACGTGTTGGTTTTTCAAGAAGAGGAGGGAAAAGAGTATATAATTCAGTTTTAGTGTTCGATTAAGTTTGGTCGCTTTATGTGTGTGAAAAAGATATATCTTGTTTTTTAAGCTTTCTGATGTACACCTTAAAGTTTCTTACTAGGGAAACCGTTATAGCCTGCCAATCAGTTGGCGTCAACATGAGACGTAATATTACTGCACGGTAAAAAAAATATAGGTTTTGTTCTCTTGGTTTAAGATAGGCTTTTGTCCGAGGATATTATAACCACCATGTACTATATTCCGTCATACTTCGTGGATAGGAACCTTGAGTTTGTCTCATTTATTAATTACAAAATCTAATATTTCTGTATGATTATAGAACTACGAAAGTTAGTCCTTTTAACAAAGGTCTACATTTTTAGTCAAATAGTATGCAATGCTTTCACTATAAATTCTGCAGATTCGCGGTCTGTAAATGAAGTGATCCCATCCTAAAAAGTATTCATGAGAAAATAACACTGGGAATCGTGTGTATTCTTGTACGCTTGTTTTATGATTTGTGATGTTTGAATCCGTTTCACCATTGTTCCCAAATAAAAGTTAACATTCTTCTAGTGCATATGCAGTGATCAATTGTAATATTTTACTGATGAAGACTGTACCTTAGCATATTTCTAGCTGTAGTTGTACATAACCATAGCATGAGAAATTCACTGCAGCTCTGCACAGGCGTTCATTGAATCGCAAACACACTTTGACATAAATATGAATAATAACTGCTCGAAATTACATCCATTAGTTAATACTATATCACTGTGTGCTATATCAAGTAAACAATCTAATATGCAATTTTACTTTACCAAGTTTTACTCTTACATCATACTTGCCTGTGTTAGCATGTGAAGTAGTTCCAAGTAGTACTCCAGAAACGGTGTGAATCCTCTAACCATGGTTAGTAGAGATATTATGCGTCCATCCTCCATTGGCTTTAGATATGGGAGCACCACTTCAGACAGTGTATCTTATGTTTAAAGTTTGTGTGCGTCAGATGCAAGTGAATGTGGTGACTAAGTTGCTACGGAATCACCGTTGTCATGGGATACTTCACATATCTCCAATATGCCTTTTCGCTTGGCCCAGTTTACCTACTTGAACGGTTAAGCTGACGTATAAATTGACTGTACATGAACTTTTTGCTTTACTCAGCAAACATGACAGCTTTTGGTTAAACTTGTCTTTTTCGTCATCCGAATCGCAGTTTGCGGATTCGTAGACTGTACTACGAACAGGTATCGAGGGCTGTCACTAACTTTTCTACTTCTTACATATCCATTCAACTTGACACCGACGAATGCTCTCTAGATGATCCTGGTCATCTCGAAACGCTGTCATATGACCTATATTCATTGCTTCTGCCACGGAGCTCCTACTCACTGCCTACACGTGATAGGGGATCTTTCCACAAAAGTGGGCGTTCGGCACCTTACGCAATTCGGTCTAAATTTAGTGTATATGTAGGAGAATCAGAAAACCCCGGTGCACACGCGTCCCATAATCCAGAACGGATAAATGGGATATCAATCTGTCTTGGTGACTGGCAATTATGAGAGTACAGCACCCCATGCCGCTTAACTGTCTTGTGAATCAGACGTCTAGTCGAAGGCTCACGCAGTGGTTGCTTAAGAAAACCACCTGCTCCAACTTGGGATTTCGGGTAGTATCACAGTACTCATGCAATTTATGAATCAGCGTTAAGAATGAAGGCTACTAGCGTTCATCGAGTCTTCCCGCTTCAAAAAATTCATTGTATAACAAACTTTCTGCTGAATCATTCAATTCATACTTATATTGTTATTTCTACATTTACACTGTACTATCTTTTGGTCGCCATTTTCAAATTTACCTTCATGTGTATCTTTGTTTCGCTCAGTCCCTAGTCACCGGCTAAATTTATGGTTTGTATGGGTCGTCTTGAGTCACTAAATGGTTACTTCCAGGAGGCTGTCCTTCACTCTGATATCTGATACAGCCATTCTACAACCGCGTGCACCTCTGCGGCCGACAATCTTCAACGTCCGGACCTTGTCTCAAATCGGGCATAAAATAGGCGTGGCTAGGACTCTAAAATAGCCTAGCCATTGATTCATGCTATATCTCGGAGACCTGCTTAGAATATCTGAGTGGATTGCTTATAATAACTTCCCCATCTGTCAGCCATAAAAATGTATTCATAGTACGTTTATTCGGTGACTCCGTGGCGTTAGCAACCAATCTTGGTGGTATTGGTGTCACACTGATCACCAGAACGGAGGCTGTACTGGTCGACTGGCTACCCATCAACTTTCGTTTGTGCTGTTAGATTAGAAGGTTCTACTAGAGTGAGCATTAAATGGCCAGGGATGATACATCTTTTTTTCATTGCTGGTTATGCCTGTACTGGCTACAGCCCGTATGTAGTTGAAGATGAATCCTACCATCAAATGAGTGACCTTTACCGGGTGCTGTTGACTGGTTTTGTAGTGTTAATTGGGAACTTTAGTGCACAGGTCGGGGATCTTGTCTCAGGGGAAGGACGTTTAGCTGACCTGTGAGATTTACTTGGTTTCAGGTCAAATAATGAGGGATGTCTTCTGTAACTTTGCGCAGATCACAACTTACATATAGGTAGCACCAAATTCTGCACTGTCAACACCATTGTGCTACCTGGCATCCTTCTTTTACCACTTAAGCATGGACTCATCATATTCCATTCATCTGACAGTGGCGTAGGTTTATTCAGGAATGTCGCTGCTTCTGCATCACCTGTCTGGACTGTGATCACTCTTCATTATGTTCTGAGTTCATCTTGCGTTTTGGTGATCATCAAAATTGTCCTAAACGAGTAGCATTGCAATCAAGTCGAAGTAAATCCAAGGCAATACCCGCTTCAATGTCTTGTACTCCATCATCGGTTGACTCTGACCCAACTTACAGAGTGGGGATCTTTGAGGAACTCCAAACACTAAGGTACCTAACGCAGAAAACCTATCATGTTTTTTTCAAGGATGGAGATGACACTAAAGGTTTATAGAAGACTTTGTGGATTCAGAAGATTAAAGAGAGATCTTCATAAATATGTCTTTGACATCTCTGATGGATATCCTTCGAAGTATACATCTCACCGAAACCTCGCCATCGGATTTAACACTACCACGTTGATATAAATGTTGTGCTTTCAGTAGAATTATGTTATCATCCAACTCCCTTTAGTAAAAGATATTTTCGTAACACAGCCAACGGAGTCAATTACCACCTTCAGATTGAGAAATGTAGCTAGTGTTAAGGTGTATGTAAGTACCTTTGTTCCAAGATCCAGTCGATTCACCCACGGACATTTTCTGAAAATTGCCTGTTTTTCCACAACTTCACTTTCTGAACCTCACTTAAGCATCTATTGATCATACCACTGAAGTACTTTATTCGTCACTAATTCCTCTGTGATTACCATGAGAGGATTTCTCTCATTTTTTAAAGACCGAAAATCAAAGATGCAGACCAATCAGAGGGGATCAACATATAACTTCGAATTGGAAGCTAGTGCTTCATTTAATTCTACCAATAATTTTAGACCACGATCCTTAAATACCTTTGATACTAGCTCATCAAGGCCCGACCGATAGCTGCTCCCTAACGTGGTGGTCGGGCTTGCATATCACAATGACCCAACGAGCTATGCTGGTGGAACGCTTGTTCCCTCGAGGTCCTACCATACCAGAAAGGTCTGTTGGGTAGTGGTTAGACGAAAAGCAGTTACCGTTATAGTGTAAATTGCTACACTATGATGGGGGTCTGAGGGCGAAGTCGTACTGCTGCTAGCTGGATGGGGTGTGACAGCAGTAAGGTGTTTCCCTTGGATGACCAGCAGTGCCATGCTGATGCTGCCTTCTCAGTGGAAGGGGGGGTTAGAAAAGGTCGGCCCCAAAAATAACACACTCCACCACGCCCCACGGTCTGCCGGGCCGGCGGTGTTGGTTCACTTGTCGTTTCCTTTCGACCATCCGGCCCCAAAAATACAAAAATTCAAAATAATCATACTCAAAAGGCTGGGTGTGACAGGCCTCAAGCAGATGTCCGATGGGCTCTGCGGTCACACAAATCTCTTTCAGGTACCTTAAGAAGAAATAGCCTTCCACGGTGTGGGCAGCCGGGAAGTGTCAACCGCCCTCACAACTCTGTCAGCACCCAAGTTTCTTCTGACTGCTATCCTCCTCCTCCATCATTACCTTCTAATCTTCCTTCACGTCTCTTAATTAATGATGCTGCATCATCTTCAATTTCTCCTACCTCTGCAGCCTTCGACAACGATCTGAGTCCACAGAACAGCATCCCTGGTCTCCTTAAACCACGCTCCAAATTACATATTGGAGCCTTCAATGTCCGCACCCTCCGTCAAATTGGCCAACAGGCTTCGTTGGCAAAGACTCTAGCAACTCGGGCATGGATGTGTGCTGTGTTTGTGAGACACGCATACAGGACCCAAGTGTGGTTATTCACCTGACCTCTCCT